TTCGTCAGTTAGCTGAGATGCACTGCATGCTTTAATCTAAGAGCTTTGTTGTTTTTGGATAATAAGCAGGTCCTGAGATAGGTGGGTCAGATGTTGTGTGTGTGTGCACGCGCTTTATGTTCAGTTGTGTCTGAGTCTTTTGCGACCCACTGAACTGTAACCAGGCTCCTCTGTCCATGAGATGCTCCAGGCAAGAAGACTGGAGTAGGTTGCCATTTCCTCCTACAGGGAATCTTCCCAACCCAGGGAAGATCCTCCTGCGTTGCAGGAGGATTCTTTACCCGCTAAGCCATCAGATGTTAGCTTCATAATGCTCTCTAGGACCCAGGCTCCTTCTGACCTTTGCTCCACTTTCTCTAGCGCAGCACTGTTCATTCTTGAAGTTCCCATCAGAGCCTTTCTGGTCACATTCCCCAGCCGGAGAGGAACCTGTGCCAAAGCTGAGTCAGGTCCTTGGTTTTTTTTTTCAGGTTTTTTTTTTTTTTGGTTTTGGTTTCTTCAGTTTCTTTTTTTTTTTTAAGGTATAATTAACAAGTGAATTTCTAGTAATATATTTAAGGTTGCAGTGTGATGATTTCATATACATTTTTCATTGTGAAAGGATTCTCACTATTAACACAATCTCACTATTAACACAAAGTTTTTTTTTTTACTTTTTTGGGGGGTTTTAAAAATGTTTTTGATAAGAGAGCCAGATCCTTTTTAATATCTTTTCCAGAAAATGTTCCCCATTTTGTCCACTTAAATCCATTGGCCATCTGCAAAAGAGGCTGAGAAATGTGAATTTTTTAGTTAGGCACATTGCCAACTCCCACCCCACCCCATAGTGTTTCTTTCAGGGTCAGGAATGAGGTGAAGCAAATTAAGCATTCTCTGTCAGTGGTAAGGAAGTACCAAAAACCTCAGTAATCGAGGTAAATGATGTCTTAATGCAATGTTACAGTACCATATTAGAGCTTGAGGCAAAAGAAAAAGTTGGTCATGTTGATCCAATCTTTATTTAAAATTTTTATGTTTTTTTCATTTGTTGTTGTTCAGTCACTCTTTGTGACCAACTCGTTGTGACCACATAGACTGCAGCATGCCAGGCTTCCCTGTCCATCACCAGCTCCCAGAGTGTGCTCAAACTCATGTCCATTGAGTCGGTGATGTAATCCAACCATCTCATCCTCTGTCATCCCCTTCTCTTCCTGCCTTCAATCTTTCCCAGTATCAGGGTCTTTTCTAATGAGTTGGCTCTTCGCATCAAGTGGCCAAAGTATTGGAGCTTCAGCTTCAGCCCTTCCAATGAATATTCAGGGTTGATTTCCTTTAGGATGGACTGGTTTGACCTCTTTGCAGTCCAAGCGACTCTCAAGAGTCTTCTCCAACACCACAGTTCAAAAGCATCAATTCTTTGGCGCTCAGCCTTCTTTATGGTCCAACTCTCACATCCATACAATGTTTTACTTTATCGCTTATTAAAATGTTGATCAAGATTAATGAGTTTTTTGGCATCCCCTTTAATTTTGTGCTCAAGGCAAGTGCCTTACTCTCCTCACCCCAGTCCCAGCCAGTGGTTTTCTTAGTGAAGAAGAAGAGAATAGATACTGGGTAGGAACCAGTCCTTGCCAAGGAGAGATCCCATTGCTCACCCATATCCTTACCTCCTTACCCACTGCTGACTGAGTGAGTAAACTCACGTTGGGGGAGCACTGTTGGCAGGCTGAGTGAGTAAACTCACGTTGGGGGAGCACTGTTGGCAGGCAGGGCAACAGGGAGTGATGTTCGTACAACCCAAGAACTGCTCACAAACAACCCCAGTCTTTTGGGAGTAGACTTATAGTAGCACCTGTATGTCCGTAGGTGGAATTCTCAAATGAGTATAGATGCCTTTGGTGACCAAGAATGAGTGTGTGTGATCAGAGGGATCACTTTGGGGTCCATGTGGCAAAAATGACCTCATAAAGGATGGGCACTCACTTGGAGAGAAGTTAATGAAGACATCACGTCAAGGGAGAACTGTCCAGCTGCTCACTGCGTGTGTGGTCACACCTCTCAGAATGAATGAATCTGGTTCAGCTTGATTTCATGCTGATTTCACGCCTTCTACAAGGAGTCTTGGAGAAGAGCAGCCTCCCTTGTGGCTCAGCTGGTGAAGAATCCATCTGCAATGTGGAGAGCTGGGTTCGATCCTCAGATGGGGAAGATCCCCTGGAGGAAGAAATGGCAACCCACTCCAGTATTCTGGCCTGGAAAATCCTATGGACAGAGGAACCTGGTGGGCTACAGTCCATGGGATCGCAAAGAGTTGGACACGACTGAGTGACTAACACTAAACTACTACTACTAGCCTAAGGTCATATGTGTTTTGAAACCAAAAATAGTTAATTTGCTGTTTTAAAATCCTAACGATGAACAGTTGACTCTTGCACAACACAAGGTTGAACCGTGCTGGTCTACTTAGGGATATTTTTCCAATAATAAATGTTACAATTGGCAGTAAGTTGACTCCACGATGTGGAAGCCTGGATACAGAGGAACTGAGGTCATGGAGGTTCAGCTACAAGTTACACTTGGATTTTCTGACTGTGCAGAGGAAAACCTCCTGCGTTGTTGAAGTGTAAACTGTAATTTGATTATTAGTTTAGAATTTTAAAAATAATTTTGAACAATCATCTAGAATTTCAGAGAAACTCATTTTAAATTTCATGACAAAATCATTTGTAGTTTTAGAAGAGTTCTGCTGATGGTATTTAGTTATGAATTGAAGTGCCCTTGAATACTTATATCAAAAATAAAACGTCTAATAAAAATAAAAGCCATAAGTGGATTTTTTTTTCATTTTCATTAGTTGGAGGCTAATTACTTTACAATATTGTAGTGGTTTTTGCCATACATTGACATGAAACAGCCATGGATTTACATGTGTTCCCCATCCCGATCCCCCGCTCCCGCCTCCCTCCCCATCCCATCCCTCTGGGTCTTCCCAGTTCACCAGCCCTGAGCACTTGTCTGATGCATCCAACCTGGGCTGGTGCATAAGTGGATCTTATGGCTTAATGTGATATAGTCAGGAAAAATACCATGATAATCTCCCTTTTTGGTAATGCTTCTGCTATAGACAAAATGGCATGCAAGCAATCTACTGTATGGGGGTTGAGACTACTTTATTTCTTTCCCCCTTTCTTCTTCTAGTTTCCAGAAACTTCAGGTAGATTTTTAAAAATTATTTTTGCAAATTGTTAAATGAATCAGTACCTAAAACAGACAAGTGCTTTTGGAAGTGTTGCTGCATTCACAGGACTGATTTTTACAGGGATGTTAAAAAAACATTTTGTGGCTATGATTCATACCCTGATGCTCTTATAAATTCTTGCATTGCAGAAATTCGTGATTCAGTCTGTCAGATGATTTCCCTTCTTGAGACTGTAGTATTGCGAAAATTCGGCAATTTGTTTCACAAATCCTTTCATCTGCCTCCTTGTGTAATGCTTTCTGTTTTTAAAGCTGTGAGCATTTTATCACCCAGCCCCACGCCAGCCTTGCTGCATGGCCTGGCTCCATCCTACACTAAGCCCTGTTGCCCGCAGACTATAAAACACTTTTCAGAGGCGCTCTGTGGCTTCACGCTTCAGGGAAAGTACTTTGTCAGTTCTTTTCAACCTTTCACAGGAATGCTATGACAGTGAAATGAAGACATCAGGAAAAGTACTTTTCAATTCTTAAGAAGACACCTGCTGTAGGATTCCAGGTGTTGGCAAAGGCAAACTGTTAATTTCAAGGTATGAAGGGGTTGTCTTTGACAGGACTCTGCCAATTAACATTTGGTTGTCTGTGTCCAGTTGAAGAATGAATTTCTAAACACAATTTTTCAAAGTTTGTTAGCATTAGACTGGTTAATTTAGAAGTATCTTGGTTGTATTTATTAGCTCTTTCGAATGTGGACACTGTGTCTTGGATCTTGGAGGGGATGCTCTGTATTTATTGATTCAATTACATGGCCCATGCCTCAGTTTCCCCTTCCTTGAAGCAGGATCCTAGTGCTTACCTAAAAGCTGAGGGAGGAAGTTGAGCTGCAGTGCATGCATGGTCCTTGATTAGCCCAGCAACTGCTGCTTTATAACCATGAATGGCACCATGACTTTGAGTTACTGCTTGCTGTCTGAACATGTTCTGCACCAAATATACAAACATGGCAGTGAGTTGCAAAGAATGTGGTAAAGGACGGTGAAAGCATAAAGTAGGGAGCATGCAAATGGTTGAGTTAGGACCATTGTGTCTATTTTGTACTCAGAGAGCCACACCAGATACAGTTCTGAGGCTAAATGCCGACATGAAAAAATGTGTGGGGTTAAACATGTCAGGATTCTCTGTTTCTGGGAGCACAGTTACACTGAGCCAGCCAACTGTAGACAGATGCTGGTGTTTCAGAGATCAGTGGTAATCATAAAAGGTCCTGGCAGCTGTCAGGTTCAAAAAATAAAGAGGCTTATCAGAACTGAAAAACAAGAGAAATGGAAAACAGAGATTGATGATATTGGGTGTTGCAGTTCCTATCCATGCTTCCTGTCTTCAGGACTTGGGATGGGAAATATTGGTGACACTTCACATTCTCTTCCATGCAATTCAACCAACATCATGGATCTGAAAAAATAAAGCTGGCGGGGAGAGGGGGCTGGTAGGTGGAGTGGTATAGATGATTTTTCCAGTTGAATGACTTTGGTCAGTTTCTCTTTTGATGAGACTAAAAACTGTTACAATAATGAAATTCAAAAATTTTACCACCTTTTTTCTTTCCTTTCTATGTGACTGAAGTAAAATCTAAAATCCTTCATTCCTCAGCTCTACTAGAAGTACAGTGAGGCTGGCCATCTTTACTGGTTTTTAGGCAGAGGACTTTTTGTATCAAATCTGGGAACACAGAAAGGGTCAGGTAAAAATCATGTGGTGGGAAGCTGATCCAAATTTTGGTCCTTTTTGAATTAAAAGTTGTGCTCAGCACCGAGAGTGGACTATACCTCCTGGAAGGCAGTCAGAAAGTCATGTTGCCGTTTATCAGCCTTCCTCGTGGCCGAGCTCTCCTGGACCTTCTCATTTGAACTTTTGAAAAATCGCCTCAGCATTAAGCGCTTCCCTGAAGCTGGATCTTGAGCATCTTGCATCCTGATTTCCAGACAGAACTGAGTTAAAAACATAGTGACTGACTCCGTTTGTTTTTCTGTCTCCAAGGTGCTTGGCCCCACATTCGTCCTCCCAGCCTGAGCGGGAGAGGAACACAGTTACTCACTGACAGGAGCGAGCTCTGGAAACTTGTCCAAATGTTGGCTGGGGAAGCCCAGTTCTCCCTCAAGCAGGACTAAATGTTTCCCAAATTAATTCTGACAAAGTGAGTTTAGAGTCAACTTTCTGGAGTTTCTCAACATGATTGAGGGTATTTTAAGTCAACTCTTTGTTGGCTGTTTTTCCAGTGTCTAACCCCTACTACCTGTTGGGAGCTTCATTTATGTCAAATACTTTACTTTCTAAGCTATGCTGTGGGAGTTTTTATCGTGTAAAAATTTCCCTGGAATGTAAATGCCCTGTGATGTCTTTGGTTTGATGTTGGGGTCAAATGCAGGCCGCTGTGTGACCTTCCTTCAGGAAAGAATGGACGCTTGTTTTGCTTTGCTCATTTGGTTCTCAGCGTGCTTTCAACCAGCAACAACGCAGTAGTGTTAGGGGTAAAAATCATTTGCCTCCGTGGGGTTTTTGGGTGGACAAGGCTTGGGATCAGAAGATTATAGATGTGTGGGCGCGTGGTCTCATGTTAATGTGTGTAGCCTTCAACGCTGGGCACAAGCCTACTACTATTCTGGGTTATTTATTTTACTTTAATGAGCAAAGAGAAATATGGTGCACTTGAATGACATAATAATAGACAACAGCATGTTCTTGAGTTATAAGTAAATCATGGTCAGAAAAAGACAGTGAAGAGGGTGTTTCACTAAATATTTCCAGGCTTTGTCTCACAAAGGCTTGGTGGTATTTTGGAGTAGCTAATTAGGAGATAGATCCAATTTTGTGCTGCCTTCTCTGTGAGTCAGATGACCATTGGAAACAGCTTATTTCAGACTGCAGCTACCGGATACAGTCACTGATGATTTCCAAACCCAAGATGGTTTGAATGCTGATTGAGTCACAGTGTTTGTGTTCTGACTGTTCCATCAAACCCAGGCTGCGTGGGAAGCGCCGATGACACGGGCTGGGTTGGAGAGGCGACGGTCTGTTCCTGGCTGCAGCGGGGAGGCAGGGGCAGGGGCTGGGGCTGAGCGGGGGCTGCTGTCCCCGCCCAGCAGTGTAAGGTCTGCCCGTCCCACCGCGGGGCCCAGGGCTCAGTTGGTGGGAGAGTCCTGGTCTGAAGCTCCTAATCCCTGCTCTCAAAGGCAGGGGCCTCGGGGCAGCCCTGGGGCGCTGCAACCTTTCTCAGCAGGCTCGGGGGTGTCTCCAGAATGAGCTGACTAGAGCGCCCGGCAGAGAGCAAGGCTCCAGGGCTCACCTCTCCCCACTTCTTCAGCATCTGCTCCTGTTACTTTTCCTTGCTGCTTCAACTTAGGGCTCTCTCTCCCCTCCCAGTGACCAGCTGTCACTATTTAGGTGCTCACCAACTCTTACCTTGGGAACCCCACCCCCCTAGATTCAGTGGCCTAAGTTGGGTTTTAAAGGTGTGAATTTTTACCTTTCCCTCTTTGTGTCAGGATGTTTCCCTTTGGTCTGTAGCTATTTTTCATTTCTTTTATTTTCCCTTGATACCTACCCCCTTTTTGTCCCCACAGGGATTAAAGCAACTGGATTTCCATCAAGGTTAGGATCGTGGTGGTTGTGTTCCTAACTTTCTAGCCCTAAATGCCCCTGGAAAGACTGTTTAGATGTGAGCCATGTGGGCTGTTTGTTCTTATCCGATTGTCAAATGACCTGCTCAGTTCTGTCTTCCAAGGTCAAGGGAGTACAACTCTCGTTTTTTGTTTTCTGTTTTCCAACTCTCATTGTTAACAATATCATTGCTGCCATTTCCTAAAAGCTTACTGTGTATCAGGCTCTGTGCCAAGTATTTAACATTTATTTTCCTATTTAATCTTCATATCAATCTTATGAAGTAGATAGTGTCAACTTTTAAAAAATGCACAATGTGAAAGTTTCAAGTTAAATTTTATTTGGGGCAAAATGAAGACTGCAGTCTGGGAGACAGCACCTCAGATAGCTGAGAGACTGCTCCAAAGAGGCAGAGGGAAAGGTCAGTATATACATGATTTTGGTAAAGTGAGGAGTACATGCAATCAAGCACATTTATTTTTAGGAGTTTCTACTAGTCTTGTGAAGCTTCTCTTAGTCACAAGAAACAGTCGTCACCATGAAGGATTTTAGTGCCTGTCTAGATATGAGGAGATACAAGAATTGGGCTCATAAAATCAGCTCCTGAGAATATGCAACTCTCTGAAGACCTGTCCTGCCAGTTTTCCCAGAGCACAGATGCCTTGCTTCTGCTCTCCACCCTGAACTTCTTCAGGGGGTGTTGAGGTCAGCTGCTACAGCAGCACGATTTAAGCCTTGTAGAGGTGGACGGCAAGCAAGCACCCAGGGCAAGTGCCAATTTGTAGTTGACAGTAGTAGTGTCTGCATTTTGCAGCTGGAGAAATTGAGGCACAGGGAAGTTGGTTATTTGCCCAGCATCATGCTGTTAGTATGTGCCATTTGCCAGGACTGGAATCTCATCTCAGTCTAGATCCTATGCCTTAACCACCTTCCAGGACCGAATTGTCTTCCAGGGCATATGTTAGTATCTAAAGACAGTTTATATTGTTCCAACCGGGAGGATGCTACTGGCATATAGCGGGAAGAGGTTAATGCGTGGGTGCTCAGTTACTCAGTCCTGTCCGACCCTTTGCAACGCCGTGGACTGTAGTCGGCCAGGCTCCTCTGTCTATGGGATTCTCCAGGCAAGAATACTGGAGTGGATTGCCTCGTTTGGGTCTCACAATTAGGTGAGGCTCCTGTGGTCCCACAGGCCACGTGCACAAAGCCCCACAGAGCAGGCAGGGAGGGCGCCGGCTGGTGAGGCAGGGTCTGCGGGCTGCCTGCACCTTCCGTATGGAGCGGTCCTCCCAGCCTCAATCACGGCCTCCTGTCTCTGTGTTCCAGTCACGTGCTCGGCCCCTCTGCTCAGCAGGCAAATCCGAGAGTTCCCAGTTGGAGAAGTTTAAGGTCTTCCTGTTTGTCTGATACTCCTGGCAGAGAAAAAGTCCACATCTGTGCATTGTCCGCCCGTTTCCTTCCCCCAGCTCCCCTCCGCACGCCCCCAGCAGCCTCGAAGTGCTGTATTGTTCCCATTCTTCCTCATCTTGACCTTGTGCTAACTGCCTATTTATTGTAATGACTCCTCATATAAGGTGCTCCTTGGGACTTTTTTTTAGTAAATGCTTAGGGCCAGGAAATTGAGGATCTAGCTAAAATGCAATGCACAGCATTTTGAAGTGTATCTCAGACCACAGTGAAAGGGACCAACCAGTGCCCACTCAGCTGTCTCTTCACCTCTTTTCTAGGTTTGTGTGTTTGCTTCCTGGGTCGTGAGCGCCCCTTTGGGTGTTGGTCTCTGCAGATGACGGCCACCCATGACCGGTTCCGTCCACCGTGCCCTCCGGGACACATGGTCACCTCGTTCTTCTCCCTTGGCCTGGCCCTCCATCCCGCTGGCAGTTTTCTCGTGTCCCCAGGGTACATCCTGGTCCTCCCGTCTCCTTCCTCCACACCATCCGCCAGGAGGTCTCATCCATACCCCTGACATCCCTCCTACCCCAGGTGCCCCAGTGCCTGGTCATGTCCCGATGAGGTCCGCAGAGGCCGCTCATTCTCCTCTACCCAGACTAGACTTGTGATCTTGCCCGGCGTGTCCCTCCTGCCATATTCTGGCTCTAGGGAATGGAAACGTTCGAGTAGTTGTACAGAAATCTGGGAGTGCGCCTTGACTGCTCCTCCCAACACCCTCCAGGGCCAGTTAGACTCTCGAGTCTTACTGTCTTTTTAAACATTTCTCAAAACCACTCCCTCCGCTGCAGTAGTTCTGGGGCTTGGGTGCCTACCGGGGCTTCCCGCTGCCCGTCCTGGCTCCGCAGGTGTGCCCCTTCCAATCGCTGGCTGCAGTCCACTCGATGGGGTGGGGGGCAGTGGCCCCCATTGCACAGACCTGTGGATCCTTGGGTCCCGCTGAGCCTGTGTGCAGCTCTGGTGCATGAGTGCAAGAGGCACGTGGGCACGCTTGGCGCAGGCTTATCCCTGCCTTTACTCGCCTGCTCCTCACAGGTGTCCACGGAAATCATCCATAAGTCGCCTATAATAGAAATGGGGACGAGTTTTACTTGAGCCACACTGAGGATGACAGCCCCGCAGTTGCTCAGATAACTAAGGATCTGCCCCAGAGAAGCATGGTTTTCAGCACAGGGTCAGAACTTGTCATAGCAAAGAACATCAAACAACTCAGAGATGCAATCCTTCAAGGTTTAAAAAAAAAAAAAAGAACAGGTCAGCATGTACACAGCAAGTCAGTATGGCCTTGGCACCTGGAAAGGGAGTCTTATCATTGACGGAGAACCAGCATTGGTGTCCTAGGAAGAGAGGCATTTCATCTTTATTTTTAACAGGACATGCTTTTCTTTTGGTCGTGGGATCCTTCTCTTTAATAATTAAAGCAGATGCACGATGTGTGTTTGACAGGCCACCAGCAGGCTGTTTTAGTTAGCATAAAATGTGAGTGAAATCATGGATAAGCCAGAATGACTTCCCCATACCCAGTATGTGAACATTTCTTCCTCACAGAGGTCCTAGAGATGAGTTCTCTAAAACGCAAGCCGGATTTTGTTACGTTTTGGGCTGAAAACACTGTAGGGGCCCCTCCTTTTAGCGGACAGCACAGAGTGCAGAATCCCAAGCGAGACTCATCCAGTCCCTCCGCCTGCCGCGTTCCTGCCCGTCCTCCCCACCCCCACCCCTGGCTTTGGCTTCAAGGGACGACCTTGACCCTGGCCGGCCCCGTGCCTGGCACTTGCCCCCGTGGCCTTCTCCCCTCCAGGCAGAACAGGGGGCCCCTCTTTGCTGCTTCACTGGCACCAAGGGCTGTGTGCTGGGCCCACCTGCCGACTTCCCTGTTGCCCTGCTGGCCTGGAACCCCTCTGAGGATGCAGAACCATCATTTTGGTGTCCGAGCACTGGTCCCAAACCAGGCACATGGACACACTTCAGAATCTACTGTCATTGTTATGTGAATGGGGTTTGTCTTTCAGACATGAGAGCATGCGATTTCTGAGAAACAAACACTGCCAGCCAGGCTACTTCACCTTTGCCTTCTTTCTGATGAGGCAGTTAGGGTACCCATAGATACCGAATGTCTTACCTAAGATGAAAAACTTGTCTTTTGTTTTAACTGGAGGACAGTTGCTTGGCAATGTTGTGGTCTCTGCCTCACATCAACACGGATCAGTCACACTTCTTAACCTCATCCGTTGGAGCCCCTTCCTCCCTCTCCTAAAAATGTCCCACCTGGTCCTGAGTGGAGAAAGAATTTAGTGGGAGGGGACAGCTTGAAAAAAGAGGTTGCAAATTCTTTTTGGGACCACACTTTGTACAGGCAGACTCTTCCTCTGGTGTGGTCATTTAATTTTTTCCTGAGCCAAATTGATAAATATTTATTCTATGCAGTACAGACTATTTCTCTGAGTGGTAAAGACTAACATCAACAGTGGTTTTTCTTTTTTTTTTCTTTTTTTATGCATCAGAGAATCTCATGCTCTGGAAGCGGCAAGGGGCAAAGCAGACACTCCAGTATCACCCCACTAGCCTCCTAAAACCGTTCTGGCTTGATGTCAGTGTTGATCTCTGACTTGTTTATCTCTTAAAACCCCCAAAACTCCATGTGTCCTAGGGGTTTCTTTCTTGATCAAATTTGAATCAGAAAGCCACACTCACTTAACAGTCATCCTAGTTCCTTGAAATCATTATAAAAGTTTACAAATAACCCTGTAAGTTAAAAAGTGAATTTGAATGGATAAGGGGGCTGTTAAAGCATAAAGTTAATTTTCATTCTTCTGTTTAAAATTCATCGTACTAAATAACTAGCAGATATGCCTGGATTAACAAGCATTCACCCTTTCAGCCATCATTTCTACTTAAATATACCAAAAAAAAAAAAAAAATGAGGCTCATCAGCCACTTCTGCTTCGCTCAGGACATAAGCAGTATCTGCATGATCTAGCCCTTTCGTTTTCTTTTAAGAAGAGTTTTTAATGCCAGCATCCAGGGTTATCCAACAGAAGCAGAAAAATTCTAGCCTTTCTCCACCCCAACTGTGACCCTCCCTTTTGAACTAATGATGGATTTACTTTGCAGTTGTTATAGTCCTGATAAAAGCCTTATCATGGTTTCCTCAGGGTTCTCCCTGATCTCGTGCTGCCCCACCCACCAGAGCACTCTTCTCTGCGAGTCCCATTCTTCTTGGCCTTGGTCTTTCTTAATGTCTCTGTGTTTCCTGATTCCAACTTTAATGACATTTCCATGAGGCCAGTAGGAGTATCTTTGTGTCTCTTCCCAGCCCACCCTCCCACCCTCCTTTCCCTGCGTGTTCCCTGCACACCTTGGACTGTCAGATCTTGGACAAAGGCACCTGCCTGGTCTTACCTCTTTAGCAGCTTCAGTGCTTCGTTCAATAAAAGTTAGCAGTTGCTAATCACCATGATCAACAATGCACAGTAACAGGAGTTCTCCAGTTTGGGAAGCCCACAACATGCGACTCCTTTTTAAGTGCTTTCGTTTCAGCAGATGTTTAATGAGCATTATCTTTAAAAAAAAAAAGGGTGGGGTGTAATGAGATAAGAACAGAGGAAAAATCCAGAAATCAAATATTCTGGGACCTGGGAAAAATAAGAGCTATTTTTGCAGTACTGGGTGCAGTTTCACCGAGTACCTCAGCCATTCATTGCTTCTGTTCTTTGAAGCCTCTGGGCCCTTGGCTTCTTGGCAGGTGGGTTAGGGTGATGGGGTGGGTGGTGTGTCTGAGCGCATACACCTCAGTCGTCAGCTCATCACCCACCTACACAAAGTGGCCTTAGAAGGGCTGCACTTTTCTCCCTGCAGTTATCACAGAGGCCGAATCCATGGAGCTCAGCCCTTGCTTTTGGGAATGGCTACCTCCGCTAAAGGGCAGTTTGGAAGAAAGGTCAGGAAGTTAGGAGGAGTGAAACTGGACATGTTTATGAAGTGTTATTCTTGTTGACATAGCTTTATTCTCACAGTCTACCTCTGCAATTTAGGATGTGTGTGGTTGACCGCCAAATAATTTCTTACCAGAACCTCCCACCCCAGCCTTTACTATCTGCAGTTATCATTATAATCAGACCAGTTTTACCAAATCTTGGTAAGACATTGCCTTTGACAGCACTGAGACCAAGATTTAAAAAAGAAAATTTAATCCATCCATGATCTCATTGACAGTACCAAGTAAAATTGAAAATCACTTTAAATTAATGTCAGCTCAGCAGCTTCATCTCCAGGCTGTTGGGTTGGAGTGCTGAATCTTTAAATATGATTTGAATCATTTCAAATGATCGTAACAAAACAAGGCATTTTATTAGATCATTAATAAGAATACTTACCAGAAGTAAGTGCCCCTGGATGGATGCAGATCAGCCTTCTGGGGCCATTTATAACCGATGAGAGAATTGCACTGCTTGACTTTAATAATTCACCCAGGAACAGAGAATAAACAGCAGCAAACATTAATTTTATTGGACAGTTTCATACGGTTTATGTTTTGAAATAAAAGGGATATGACTTGACTCCTGCCTGAAACCAAAGCACTTAGAAAGGACTCCCTCATGTTGTTGGCATCTCCGACTGGGGAACTTGTTCTCAGATGCATTTGTTAATCAGTTGGCACCCTTCTTGCAATAAATAAGAAGCCAAAATATAAACACTTTAGGTAGTGACTACAGCTTTGTGTCCTGTCATGTCCTTTGGCATATGGCTATGAAATTCTTTATGACCAATCATTTTACTTGTCTAGAACAGAAGCCACAGTATCTGAGGAAGGAAGGCGTCTGTATATGACTGTGATTTTTCCAAACCAAGTACAGGTTCTTTAATTGCTGGCTCTGTGTCTGCAACTGAGGGTAGAGAGGGCCTCGTTTTTAGCTGGTAGCCCAGAGACTGGAGTGGAGACGGCTCTGCTTTGTTTCCAACAATAAGAGACACTCTGGACCTGGAAATGAAAGGGTAGAGGAAATAATGACGTTATAAGAAGAGGGAGACAGTCTAGCCCATGCCCTTTGACCATGGCCCTTGGACAAATGTGCTCAGATATCACCTTCTCTTCTGCCTCTGTACTTGGCAATTCTTATAACCGACAGGGTATCTCCCTTTCCCATCCATCTAGAACTGTAGGACTTGGAGAGCCACCTGCTTCGGGGGAGAAGGTGATGAAAGGTGGTCATGCACTTGAGAGGATCGACTCTGGGAGCTGACAGTGACCATGAGCATCTACAGACCCTCACCACCACCCCTGCCCACCTCTGAACCCGAATCTCGGAAGCTACAGCAGCTAAGGATGCCGAGTGTGGTCACACACCATTAGCCGACAGCCTAGACCAGAGTCCGTGGTCCCCTGCTTCCTGCCTAATGCTTCTGCCCCCACCTATGACTTTACCATTTGACAGGCTTCAGCCTACAGTCATTGATATTAAAAGGTGATTTTTGTGTGTGACTGTGTGGAAATAGCCCTCCGAGAGCAGAAAAGCATCAAATATGACAATAGTAATAATTCCTACCACCTATTGATTACTTAAAATTATACCTGGCTTTACCTGCACGTATTTTTAATCCTTATAACACCCTTTGAGGTGGATCCTTTGAACATCCACACTTCATTGCTGAAAGACACAGAGCTACAGGTATAGGCAGGGTGATAGTATTGAAATAGATCTTTTGTATCCTTTTTGTATCCATTTGTATCTTTTATGCTATAGAACTCTTCCTACAGGGAGAAAATCGGTGTTTGATGGTGAAACTACTTACCCCAGGCCAGGCGGGCCCTAGAAGATCTAAACGGGGAAAGGCGTGCCCTCCGTGACCTCATAGGTGGCCATGCTGATGTGTGGTTTGGAGGTGGGGAGGCTGGACCCCGCTCCAGGGAGTCCACTCCACCTGCCTGGCGTACTTTGCTTTTGCCAAGCACATTTTAAGCCTATGACTGACTTAGTTGACCCTCACAACAAGCCTGTGTGGTAGGCTCTGTTATTACCCTCCGTTTGCAAGCCCAGGAACTGAGGTGCAGTGCCGCCTCCG